TCGAAGGCTAATCGAAATTTTGAAACGTATGAGAATGATGTCTCCTTATTCTGATTAGACGCAAAAGAGATCCTTCAGAATCAATATTTTCTACGAATTCATCATTTTGTTGTTATTGATAAGTTCGAGTGGTAATTACCCTCGACCCGTCTTTCGTACTCAGCGATTTGCTTATGGCTGAACGAGCTTTTGGTATCATTTTTAACGTTCTTCGAAAAGGGTAGCTTTTTTCTGTTGTGGAAAAATTTAGCGAATTATTTCAAATTGTGATAGCGTTCAATATAAGCTTGTTGATGAAGTGGTAGAATGTTGCGTTGTATCAACGAATCTGAATTGGTATGTTGAGTGAATAAATATTAAATGAGTGGTTGAAGTATATGGACGATGAGGATGAGAACAGGGATGATGAAGAGGGAGGAGACGAGGGTCAAGTTCGAGAACAAGGTCAAGATGGAGACGGCAATGCGAACGAGGGTGGTGCTATCGAGCAAGCAGCATTGGTCGTTGCACGACTGCGAGCCGTAGTTGATCGTGCTGACGCGGCTATCGCTAATGTCGCTAATGATTTCGTTCTGAGGCCTGAACAACAACGGTTTGTTTCCTATTTTCTTTGTCATTTTTCATAATTATTATTTAGGGGAGTGATTGCAGTAGAATTGGTTTTTAACGGATCTGCGGATAAAGTAATTCCAATTGATTTAACTGATGTGAGTGAATTCGACCATGAAAGAATTTGACGTGAATACATTCTGCACTAATAACGTTGTCAGTTTTGTCAACTGATAAAAATTGATATTCTGAATGATAATTCTACAAAAATGATTGATTATTATTGCTTGTCAATAATTTGCCATGAGAATATGGAAACCCGAAATCTGCGAGAATGTTTTCCTCTTGGCTACTGAAGCTAATATACAAAAACAGGATAATCGAGCCCCGTCGAGATTCTCTAGAGAAAAAGCTTTCGAAAATGCCTTTATCGCGCATTATTCTCACCAAGTATTTGCACAAAAAGGGTTTTGAAATTAACTCGATGAGGGATATGAGTGATAATAATAATACTGCAGAGCGGTGGCAAGGCAAGTATCCGGGGACGGAATGGCTGTAGCAGCATTGAACGCAGCTGTTGGAGATGCCGAAGCAGCGGCGGTCGTGTTAATCGGTCAGTTACGCGAAATGGTCGATGTATTGGTTCGTGAACGAGATCAGATCAGGGAGGTGGTCTTGCAGCGAGGTCTTTTGGACGATAACGATGATAACAATGCTGATTTGGGCTTCGAATTATTCCCACTCAATGAAATTGTCTATCAGCCAGGTTAATGACTTTACTTGACGCACATTTGTTTTGTTTCTTCTTTTAACGAAATTTCGGTTGTTAGCCGTTGATTCTTTTATTAGCTTCATGATGCACAAGATTTCTCTCTCAAAAAATTCTCCAACTTAAACTTTTGTTTTACTTCAGAAATGTTGCTGAAATCGTCGGTAACGGTGGTGGTTGATAATTTTTCGAAGTTTCGCCAAGAGCTTACGTTCTTACCGAGTGAACTTCTGTTCGAGATTTATATGAATATGTATAAACGAGAGAAATTCTGTCAACTTGGTTATGAATGGTGCAATTTGGATGTATTCCATCGAATGCTGATGCTCAAATCCAAAAGGTTTGTTGTTGAGTCACATTTTAGGTTTCCATTTCCGATGCGATTTGATTGGATTAAATGTTTGTTGTCACTTGGTTGAACGTAATCGGGCCCGATTGTTCAATTTATGCAGAAGTTCTTTCACTTGTTTTGCAAATAATTTTGGATTGAAGGATCGAGATTCACGAGATATATCAATGTCTTATTCGAAACGGTACAATGATCTCTGGCACCTTGCTAGCTGTCGCAAAGCAACGCGTTGATTGGCTCTTATCAGATCCAAGTTGGACTGTTTATGAATTGGAAGAGCTTTATAATTTCACACTGGAGTTGGGTTGGTTCAACTGATTTATNTGTGTAGAATTTCGAGAAAATTTTTAGCTCACTCAGGCGATTTATGAAACACTTCGAAAACTTTACCAAACGTAGCAGCTGACTTTTTTTAATGTGGCTGTCGACTTTCATCATTTTCGTTGATTTAGATATAAGTTATTACTCATAAAGTAATATTAGTCACGTTACTAATCGTAACCTTTTTGAGGTGTTTTCTTCCTCGAATCTTGTTCATACAACTGGGCTGGCGGCGCATTGCTTTACTGCCATTCGATCCTTCTCAAGTTCCCTGTCCGAACGAATTGGCGTCAGCAGAAATTATTCGAACTGAATTACTGGTATTATTTCAAATCCAATTTTGAAAGTTTGAAATTAATCTGTGCGGTTTAGAAGCAATAGAAATATCCTTTGATAGAAACTCGATATTTTTTCAGAATGTTGATTACAAAGAATCACATTATTAGCAACCAAAGTTTTTAATAGTTCGTGCATATTTAGGTGAGCGATAAGCGCAATAAGTTTTCAATCGATTAGAGTGATAGAGACATGTTGAAGGTTGTTGGAGTATTACACGGGTAATTGTATGTATACGGAGGCGATACGAACGTGTTCGTTGTTCGATGCATTAATATCGCACGTCGAAAAATCATCAAATCAAAATGATGACAAAGCTGTTAATTTAGCGCAGATACTTATTCAAAGCGCTGTTCTTTGGTTTGTTATCATCATATTTTGACTTTCATTTGGTTGAATAGGGGAACTCATTTCTTTACTCTCGGTAATTTCATTCATAAGAATTTCAATGAAATTGTATACTTTGAACGCATCGATTGATTAAAGAATCTAGTGCTGGTTGCAGCTTCGATTATTGACATTAATGGCGTTATTATATTCTGTAAATAATTCGGTAGAGGTTACATCCAGCACTCTTCGGTGATTAATTCCAGTTACAATGATGCGTCGTCTTCTCATTTCTGATAACCTAATGTTTTTGTAAGTGAATTTTACAAATGTCTGAATTTATAGGTATCAGATAGGTGAATTTAAACATGCACTGCAATATGCCGTTCGAGCACTGCGTTGCATCGTTAATCGACCAACGCCGATGCGGGTCTCTTTCTTTAATCATTTTCACAGTGTTTATCATTTGTCGCAGTTGATACTTATCGAATCACACATCTGTCCACTGTTAAAAAGAACATCAATAATAATCATATTTTGCCAAAGATAAAAACTCTCATTAACTGCGTTGTCTCATCGTTCAGACAAGAGTGGATGTGTTGAGAATATCGGCAAAGATATTGATTTGCCTAAGACAATCTGATTTGGCAATGAAGCTGATTCGATATGCGGTCGCCGTAGTTCTGAGGCATTTCGATGGTGGTCGTCGATTCAGTTGTGTCTTATTTGATTATGCGTTTTGCTTGGTGAATCGAGATCGCGTCGAGCATGCACTGGACGTTTACGATGTAAGTTTGTTTCTTCTTATCCTTTATTCACTTCGAATTCCTTGTCTCCTCATTCTTCCAGTCACTCTCATCCAACGCTCCAATGTGCTTTCTTAAGTCGTTTTGATCCGTTAACCCATCGCTATATGATATTTGGTCACTTATCATATCTTCAATTCCCTTTATGTGAGCTGAGGCGATTTTCTTGTAATTTTCAAAATGTTCTTATGCTCAATTTCTATCGCTTTCATAGTAGCCAGAGAGTTTCGAATAGATCAAGGGCGTATTAGTATTGATGTTGTCGGAGTAAAGAGGAATGATCAGTGTGAGATTTACGAATCTAACAATGGAAATTTAATTTTATTCGGAAATTTTTCTAAAATTAATGCTTAATCGACTCAGTTATTATTCAGATCGCGTTACGAATTCGTGAACAGCAGTTCGGTTCTTTTTCAGTGCGTACATCACAGGCACTTGAAGATGTTGCTTATGCGCTCTACGTGCATGGTTATGGCACTGGCAATTTTCAACATGCAAGGTGATTGACTGACCGCGTTTTGTTTCAGTAACCTTTTGAAGACAGTCATTCAGATCAGTGACAATCAATCTCCAATCTGGTCTAGTTCATTCCTTTAAGCAGTTGAAGGGCTGGCTCTACTTGGGTCACAGCATATTATCATTTGAATGGTGCGATGAAAGTTTGTTTCATTGCGAAGCAGTTTTACACATGAATTGACCAGTTTGAGATTGGATCTCGTGGAAGTTTTTCGAAAAATGAAAATTTTTGTAGGGATCGTTCGATTGAGGTAGCTTTGCTGTGAAGTTAATACTGTTTTGTATAAAATATGAATGGTCTTCGATGTTGTAGTGAGCTGGCGGATCGGGCCGTACAGATCAATAAGAAACTTCTGTCGAAAGATCACATGCTGATCGCATCAAGTCAACGAATGAAAGGTATTTGATAAATTGTTTTCCATGCCGTTAAGAGATGATACTGATCCCATTGCAGAAATAATAGTAAAGATACTTACTGCAGCCAGTATGAAAAGTGAGCTGGGGTAAATCAGTGAAACTGTGAGTGAAGTTGAGAGAGTCGGTGGTGTAGTGGTGTGTATGTTGGCTTGCGGATCTAATGGTAGAAAGTCTGCGGGTTCAATGCCCGGTCGATTTCTAAATTTCTGTGAGTGCTAAATGCGTCTTTGCCACCGGTAATGATATGAATTCTAACTTATCGGTCTTCCTTTATGACGCAAAAATTATGTTCACTAGCTTTGAACGGTAGCAGTTGATTATTTACTGATGCGGTTCAAAGCGTAGTAATACATG